TCTCTGGTGAAGCCTCTCACCGCCCCTGAGCCTCTGGCCTGTACCCCAGTTCTGTATGAATAAATAAATAAATCTTTAAAAAAAAAAAAGTTTACTAAAAAAATAATAATAACACAAATAATGGAATAAATTTGGGAGGGGTCAAATTGAGCATGGTTTTTTGCATCATAGTAGGGGATTTGCCTATTACCTTGGAGAACTATTGAAAAAATATCAGGCAATGTGATGTCAAATTCAGAATTTGACTCAGCAGATTATGGATGAGAGGCAAGGAGACTGGATGAATTCCGAAAATTATTCGGTGAGAGTGACTAAAGGATTGATGTGGACATAGAAGGATAGAGAAGTATCTATACTTGATGAATTGGAATTAGGTGTCAATCAACGTATGGGATTCCCAGGAGGCAGATTCAGAAGTGGAGATTGGGGAGCCACATGCTGATTGTGGACACTTTTGGGAGCAACACCAGACGGATTAGGGTTGTATAGAATCTGACCTGATGACAGCCACAGGTAGCCCTTTGCGATCTCCAGAGCTGGGGTGACACTGGAGATCCAACTCCTACTTGGAGCCACTGGCTACACTTTTACTCTCCTATAGTAATCAGGTTTTCATTGGCTATAAGTTGACCCCCATGAGTGAGGCATTTCTTGGGTAAGGTGACTGTGCCCAGGCAATTTTTAAGGATGACTGACAGCTGGGATCTTTCTGGTGGTAACACCCAACAACTGAAAGGGTTATCTGGTTCCCATGGTCTAAGGGACTATGAAAAAAATAAATACAACAAGGGATCCCAAGGCAGTAAACAGAAAAAGAGCTGGGCTGAAGATCACAGATTCAGAATTTATGTCCCAACAAAATGTAGCAGATTCTATGGTCATAGATGACACTTCCCTATAGAAGTGAGTGAGTAGAGTACTGAGGTAGACATGGAAGCCTGGAACAAACCAAAGACAGAGCAACACAATTAAAGACACCTGAAGAAAGATAAGGCAGAGGCAGAAAAGCTGTAAGTAGGAGAAGATAACAAAGGCTAAAAGGTAGAGATGAAGGATGGAAGATAAGAGAGTGAAGCAAAAAGCGCATGGGAATAAGTAGCAGGGATATGGATTTGGAAAGCTTTCACATGTGAAAGAGAACTGAGTACATGCATATGCTAAAGCCAGCTCAGAGAGGAAGAGGGGGAGGTATAACAGAGGGGTTAAGAACCAATGGAGCAGGGCTTCTAAGGAGGTAGGAAAGGAAACCTTTCCTCTCCACATAAAGGTTGGAGAGGAAAATACTATCTCCCCTAAATATCAAGAAGAGAAAATGAAAATGGTGTTGACATTTGACTTTGTCTGTGAGTGCCAAAAACAAAAGTTCCACAGTATTTATATTGCTTAAGGCATGCTTATATTCAGGACAAACCACCCTATTTGATGTAAACATTGTTCTCACTTATATTATCTGTAATACAGAGATGTTTAATTGATTAACAATCAAAGGGCTGGGAGAGAACACATTGGAAACTTCAAAGAATAAATAAAGATAAAGTTCAAGGGAGATAGAATGAAGAAGAGGAAACAGAGGGCAGAAGAGGATGTGTAAGTGACAAGTCAGAGTAGTACCGACCAATCACAGCAGGGTGGGAATGGCCCAATTTGCCTCAGTCCCCTCCAACAAAGGACCCAGAAAACCTTTCAGCTTAAGTTGGTGTTAGGAAACTGAACTACACACAAGCCATCTATTTCCTCAATGATTCACATGCTTCAGAGAGGGAGTTCTCATCTGGTCTAGGAGAATACTAAGGAAACAGCAACAGACAGATGATAGGTGTATAGATTGAGTACAGATAAAGAAGACAGCCAGAGCAGCCACCCATCTTGAAAAAAGCAATGTCTCCATATTTCTGTATTTCCGACTTCAATTTACTTCAATTAATGGGCTGTTTAAATCCAGGGCGAATTATAGCCCTTTAAGATTTGTGATTAACTGAAATGGAGAATCTTTTGCAAACTCTGGTATTTCCCACCTGGCAAATAAATGCTTGATATACTTGTGTTTGAGTAGTTTTCGTTCTTAAAATGGATTCCCTGAAAAAGGATGTGAAAGAAAAAGGGAAGATCCATACTTCCAATAGTGTCTCTTCTACCCTGTCTCTGGGAAATGACAGGGAAGCAGCTGTTGAGAATGACAGTGACTCTTGAACTTTGACGGCTGAAGTTTGTGTGTCTTGAAAAGTATTTGAAAAACTACCAACGAGGTAGCACTAAGTCTCAGGAGCATTACTCTCACTGGTATGAAGGCTTCGAAAAGCATCTTTCTCAACTGTTTTTGAGTCTAAATACAGTTGGTTAAGCATAATAAACTAGAGATCTGGGTTTATTCCAGGATCAGTGGCATTAACTAGTCTTGCCAAGCAATCCTGAAACCTTACCTTCTGGATCTTCCAAGTGAAGGGTTTAATCCTGTTGATTTTGAAGATACCTTCCATCTCTTAAAGGTTTTCTATTAGCTGAATTTATGTAATTACATAAGTAATCCAAAAGATCACTTTCATAATATTCCATAAAAATGGGATAAAATATACAGTTTGGGATTTGATAAATGTGATCTATTTCAAGCTATTGAGTTAGCATCAAAGAAAAGCTTATATACTAAATGTTACTTCATCAAAAGAAAGATGAGCCTTAACAGGTCATATAACAATGACCTGTTAATTCTAGTCAGTTGTAATGGATTTATTTAATTTATTCTTCTTTTCTAGATTGGAAGAATATGCTAAGAAATCTGGTAAATTCTTACTGAAGAACCAAACTCATTGTTTGTTTGATTTTTTAAATATCAGTAGCTTTAGTAGAGCTCTTGGAATGAATACTTAAACATTTCTCCTATCCAGAAGTCCTTTTGAAAATCAGAATAATAAGCCATATTAAAGAAAAATGATGACAGTAGACGAAATCAGTAGAGACTCTCAAAGTCAACCTGCTTCTCAACTGATCTCCGAAGAACTGGCAAGGCTCTGGCGTTGTCTTCGGTTGGGGATTAACACATATATTTATGCTTTTATATCAGAGTGATTTTTTTGACAGGAAGTTTTCAGCTCTATAATTAGCAAGCCACAATGGAAGCTTTGACGTCTAATTACAACATTGCTAAGACAATAATCAGATGAGAAATACTGAAGTTGAATGCAGTGTTTCTTGACACACCTCTGGCTACCTTCTTATTGGCTGGGAAAAAATTATATGTGACTAGTAAATAATCCTTAGAGAAATGAATGTGCAGGTACAAAGGAGCAGGCATTTACAGCAGGTCCTCCTAGTGAGACTGAAGGTCCTCACAGGCTGTGGCTGCGGACTAAAACGTTATGGGCAGGGACCGTGGCAAACTCCAGAAGAGACGGCTGTAGACCTCCAGCGGCCTCCGCACCTCGGATCCTGCTTCAATAACCGCAGGTTGGTCAGTCTTGCGGACATCAGCGATGGCGTTTTATCCTCTGCAAATTGCTGGGCTGGTGCTGGGGTTTCTCGGCCTGGTGGGGACTCTGGCCACAACCCTTCTGCCTCAGTGGCGAGTATCAGCTTTTGTTGGCAGCAACATTATTGTTTTCGAAAGGCTCTGGGAAGGGCTCTGGATGAACTGCGTCCGACAAGCCAAGGTCAGGTTGCAATGCAAGTTCTACAGTTCTCTGCTGGCTCTGCCCCCTGCTCTGGAGGCTGCCCGGGCGCTCATGTGCGTGGCTGTCGCGCTCTCCTTGATGGCACTGCTCATTGGCATCTGCGGCATGAAACAGATCCAGTGCACCAGCCCCAGCGACAGGACCAAAGCGTACCTTCTGGGTGCTTCTGGGGTGCTGTTCATCGTCACGGGCATCGTGGTCCTGGTCCCGGTGTGTTGGACAGCCAATATCATCATCCGGGACTTCTACAACCCCGCCATCCACGTGGGTCAGAAAAGGGAACTGGGGGCCGCGCTTTTCCTGGGCTGGGCGAGCGCTGGGGTCCTCTTCATCGCGGGGGGTCTGCTCTGTGGGTATTGCTGTTGCAACCGAAGAAAGCCAAGACTCAGCTATCCAGGCCCTGGATACTGCGTGCGGCCCCCAGTTAAGCCCATGAACACGACTGAGCTGAGGGCCACCACTAGTTATGTCTGACACCTGCACTACGCTCCAGGGACGACGGCCACAGTTTCATAAAGTCCTGCCGGAAGACATAATTACAGCAGGCTGCACTTGCTTTATGAGAGCCTTTAAATTGAGATGGAAAGTACAAAAGGCACAGGGATCGTGGCTTTTCTGCCATGGTAGGAATGGGAAAGACAGACTTGGGGCATTGTTACCTGATGGGCATTAGACACTGTTACTATGTAGAACTCAAATCATCCCTATTCCAAAATGTGTAATCTAAAATCAGGTCTATCCACAAGTATATCCTTCGTAGGATAGACTGCTCTTTTTTGACAATCAAATATATTTTACTAAGAAATCTGAATTATATTGCAATTGATAACCCACCGCAGGAAAACACACTCGAAGATACAATCTGTTATTTTTCCACCAAATAACTTCTTATACTAATATAATAATAACTAAAATTATGTCATCTTTTATTGAAAAATAAATTTTACTGAAGACTAGTGGCCATCAAATAGGAATTCTTAATTAAATTTAACAAAATGTGGAAAAATCTCATCCTATGAGAAGATCTATTATTTCTTTAGGAAACTCAAATGTCCTAGAAATTAAACACCTTTAGGATAAAGGACGTTCTGATTTCTCTGAAGACATTTAAGAAGATGGATTTTAAAGGGTAATTATTATTAAACTTGCTTATACTTGTATATTGCAAAAAAATAACATAAATAGAATGTGCATGTATAGCCCATCTTTTGCACCTTCAAGCAAACAGAAGTATTGTCTTGATAAACACAGCAAGAGAAGGCTCTGAAGATCCAATTCTCATCAAGAGGAAATATGGTCCAGATTAGGGCATTGAGGTTTGGGTGTTGGAGGGAATGGTTTCTGTTCCTTGTTTTATTCTTTAGTCATTGTTACAGGCCTATGCATGCAAAGTCAAGTGAAGAATCAAGGTAATGATTCAGGCAATTAGTCAGGCTAAATCAGTACCTCCTCTTTTTATTCTGTAGTTAAGTAAACAGCTATGGCTAAGGCATTTATTTTGCTTGAATTGCACGCATTATTTTCTCGATTCTTCCCTTCCCTTCCCATGTAGACATTCCAACATCAGGAATAAATGCATGTTGAGAAGGAAGTGAAGAGGGGATGGGCTGAATGTGTGTAGGGAGGGTGATTGTTCCTAGGGGGTGCTTCTCAATATCTCCAAAGTCTTGTGAACAAAGTCATACTTATACATTCAATTTTAACTTTTCAAATACTGTTTATTTTATAATAAAACATTTAATTTACTGTGTATAATTGTAATAAACATGTTAAGTCTATCTACTAATTTTTTTCACATTCATTCTTATAATGAAATAATAAAATAAACTAGTAGCATAGTTTCAATGATGATATATTGATCAATGGGATTAAGTTAGGAATGAGTTTTCTGTCCTCAAAAGATCATCTAATAAATCTGAAGTGTTAAATAAGAGACAACTCAAAACTAGATGTTGATAATAAATCTTAATTCTAATCAACAAACCACCAGCAAAATGAATATTTTGCCTTTAGTAAGGCAAAATAAAGCAGATTTAAAAATCAGTAACATCTTACTAGTACAACCACTATGGAAAACTGTTTGGAGTTCCCTCAAATTGCTAAACATGGAGCTCCCATATGACCTAGCAATCCCACTCCTATGTATCTACCCAAAAGACACAAAAACACTGATTCAAAAAGATACTTTCACCCCCATGTTTATTTCTGCTTTATTTACAATTGGAAAGACATGGAAACAGCCCAAATGCCCAAAGGTGGATGACTGGATCAAAAAGATGTGGTACATACACACAATGGAATATTACTCAACGACCAAAAAAAGAAACACATGTCTTTTTCAGCAACATGGATGGAGCTGAAAAAGATCATGCTTAGTGAGATAAGCCAGACAGAAAAGGAAAAAATACCAAATGGTTTCACTCATAGCAGAAGTATAATGGAACAGGCAAGAAAATAATAATAATAATAATAATAATAATAATAATGAACAGTTATATACTAGAGACAATTTATGGGGATGGAGTGGGGAATGGGATCAAAAACAGTGGGGAGTGAGAAATGCACTGGACTTTGATGATGGCACATGGGTGACTTGGTGATGGGAAGCCCATGGGGATTGCAACAGAGATGGAAAAATGCACAAAATGATGTAAAAATAAACTATTGTATTATTAAAAAATTTTAATTTGTTTAAAAAAATAGTAACATCTTAATGATAAAATCCATATTTTTAAATAATAAAATAACAGCATTTACAAGACAAGTTAAAAAGAATTTTTTTCTAAACTGTTTTCTTTTTCAAATTTAATTCAGACATTCCAATATATTGGAGATGTTGGAAAGAAACCATTTATTTTAAACTGGCAAATAAAAAACATATCAAAATACATGCTTAACATTTGTCATAGAATCATCTATTTTACCTTTTGGCTCACTAGGTTAAGTATTTAGCTTTGGAGGATTGGCTCCTGAGTCAAAATGAGGCATGTTACTCAGAATATCAAAGAGTAAGACAGTGTCACACTAGTGGGAGTCACAAAATTATTGGCAGTCACATTTGCTACTACAGATGGGCAGCATTTCAGGAACTAAGGAATTTTTCTCTTTCATTAATCAAGATATACTTTTGGAAAATTATTAATTGAATTTAATAAATTAAATGCAACCACATTAATTTAGTTAAATACATACTAATAACTCTTTTCATTTGCCAAAAAAAAAAAAATCCTGCTGTATCTAAAAACATTTTCTTGGGTTTACATGTTCCTCACAACTACCGCAAATTCAGACAAGGTAGCTGTCATTATCAGCTCATTGTGACAAAGATAACTAAAGCTTACATGGTTGTAAGGTGTGGCTAAAGTACAGAGTAAGCATACAGAAATGAAGAAGAGAAATAATATAAGCAGAGGAATAAATATTTGAGGAATGACCGAGAAGGCATATATTCCTTTGAGAATTTAGCTATATGCATCTCTTCCTCCCCCAGAGAAGGTTTCTTAGTTTAACCCCTTTAAAACACAAACAATTCTAGTCACTAGAAGATGATAGTATAAAAGAAACTCAGTATGTTTTTGTCTGAACAGTGTCTATGTGACAGAAATTGGAGTCACAGCTCTTCACTAGCTAGCATGGATATTCTCACTTGCTGTGACCTTAAGGGAAACTAGTGAAAATGTACTAACTGGAAACTTAGAACTGAATACAGCTTTTCTTAGAGAGGAGAGTCAGAATAGAAGTGACCTGTCTGCATTTCATATGTTTATTCCAAACCCCGTGGCATTTAGGAAATATGAATGTTTGCTGAATATTTAAATAATTAATTGATGAAAGAAGGGAATAATAAACAAGCCATAGTACCTAATGTAGGAGTAACCAAAAGTTCAATTCCTAACTGAGTCTACAGAAGTTTTGAGTATTGTGTCTTTTTATTTACAAGAAAATCTTTATTTACATGGGCCATTTAATGGATTATTTACAAGAAAATAGCTATTTACATGGATAAATAGTACCCCTTAAGGAATTGTTGAAGACAAAATAGGACAGAAGGAAAATACTTTTAAGACTGACAAAAGGTATAATATGAATTCAGATTGCAAGTTAATAAAGATCAGAATTTTCTGGTAGAAATAACTAATAAAATATTCAGTAGGAAGCAAATTGCAAAGTAGACATGACTATGGCAAAATGACTAAAACTTTTACCACAGCAAAGATTGCCAAGTACTTCATTTGACTGGTCTCCCTATGGGACATAGAATGTTTTCATCAGGGGCACAGTGTGTGCAACAGGTTGATTCTGGACGTTGATTCCACAAAAATCAATTTGTCAAATGGATTCTAAGGAAAATAATAGAGAGCTAGAAGCTTAAGAGACAACTGTAACAACAAGAGGCCAACAGCTGAAGACAGGGCCAACAAAGAAAAACTGGGGGTGTGTGTGGGGGGGGAGGGCGAGGTTATGGAGATGGAAGAGAAGGGAAATTTTAGTGGGTAAATGGGGGAGGGGAAGGCCATTCAATGTCAACATGAGGAAAATTCTTCTGCAGCACTGGCATTGAATCAATGACGAATGTTGTCAGAAGCACTGGAGACAGCATTGCGGTTTCTATTCTTGAGCAGCCTCATAAGGTTGAAAAGAATCATGGTAAGAATGAGGCCAAGAGAGAAACCCTCACAGGTTAACTCCTCTCCACTCAGTTGGGGTGACGCAGAGCCCCACATTCCATCAGTAATTTTCCAGACTTAAGTCTGCAACCTTGGGAAAGACCTGCCTCTCAACTTTCTGCTCACTCACGTTCTCTATTATCAGCTCATTTCTTTGCTTCTTTTCCATCATCCTCAACTTGAGCTCAGATCTGCCTGCTCCAAAGATTCCATTTGTTATATCCCTTGCACCCCTTGAAATGTCTTCTAATTGACTAGTCTAAAAAGTTGAACTTATTAATACTGGCAATATCGATCTCAGTAATCTTTTCGAAACTTTCCCATTTTATTTATTTTCCTTAAATGACTGAGAGCTCTTTTTTCTCTTGGTGCCATCTTGCTGGACTTAATTTCCTTTAGGATATTTGAAGACACTTTGCTTTCTCATTCCTTTTCTAGATCTCATATGTATCTACTTTTGGGAACTCAGTTCATTCCTTTTACTGTTAGTAAAAGACAAATGACTTAGTAGAAGCACTGAATAAAGATTGGAGCTGATAACCTGGCTCTTGGAATAGAGTCTTCATTTTCTCATCTAAAAAGTGTGGAGAGGAAATAAATAATGTTTAACATCTATGCTTATAACTAGACTGAAGACAGATGCATCACATAAACACAACATAGGTATGTATTTTTAGCAATAAATGCACTTGAATTTAACTTTCATCATAATTTTCTTGTACAGTAAAATACCATTATTCAAAGAGATCACGCAACTTTTTCAGGGACACGGCACTGTCAAACCCTTGACCCACCACCAACACACAC